TGGAGCAGGGAGCCCGATGCAGGACTCAATCCCAGGACCCTGGGACCATGACCTGAGCCGAAGGCAGACGCTTAACGACTAAGCCACCTATTTATTTTAGAGAGAGAGCGCGCACAAGCAGGAAGGACAGGAGGAGGACAGAGAATCTTAAGCAGAGTTGGACGCTCAATTGCCTGCACCACCCAGGCGCCCCATGATCTTGATAGGGTTTAATCAATCCTCGTATAGAAGAAAACTGGAGAGGGTCCATTTTGTTGGCAATACCTGTGGGATGAGATCTGGGAAGCAGCAAGGATTTATTTTGGGCCTGCCCCTTGTCCTGTTTTGTCACTAAACTGCTTGGCCTTGGCACTTAGCCTTTTTCAAACAGTGACGTCATAGCTCTACTGCCTCCTAGGATTATGGGTCTCAAACCGGCCAAGGGGGAACGTCCTTTGGTGGGTGACATCCACCTGTGCTGTCCTCATGACCCGTTATCTGCGGTCAATAAGAATCAGGCTGTAACTTGGCTAGTGTGGTGACAATTTGCACGTCCACTGTATCAGCACCACAAAACATGGTTCAGCTTTATGACAGAGGGAAGAAAGAAACTTTGAGCTCATGTAGGCAACAGCAGAATCAGACCCCATTACTACCTGTTTGTTGTAAATATTGGCTGCAATCCGTTTTCGTAATACTAACTCCATAGCAGCCGGGTGGCTGAGCTGGACCGTGGTTTTCACTATCAGGTAAATCCTTTCGTTCTGCGGCGTGACCCTATTCAGGTGAACGGAATCATGCACTGAGGAGTCCCAGGAGGCTGTGGCTGAAACCTAAGAACAGGAGAAGGGTTGGGGACAGGGAAAAGACCCAGCTCAGGGGCTGAGGTTCGACATCACACATGAGAACGAGAAGAGAAATGCAACCCCACTGAATCATACGTGTTTCTCCTCACTTTTTCTGAGCGACAACACACATTCAACTTTTTAAAGCCCCCAGTCCTCTCCCCCAAAGCAGACCACAGCAGTTTAACGGGAAGATAGGCCCATAGGGAGGTGCACTCATCTGAAGCCCAGGAAGAGAACCACAGGGGTCAATTACCTCCTCATCACTGTGCTTTATGATGGGCAGGTAGAAAAACTGGCTGCCGTGCTCCTTGGGCAGGATGGAGTTGACGCCCGACGCGTGGGGGCCCACGAGCTGCTCGTTAGCACTGAGGTCATCGGCTGACCACGTCCAGGGCACAGAAACAGAAGTGGAAGGAAAAGTCACTTTTTAAGCAAGCACTGAAAATTTTTATTTTATTATTATTATTTTTTAAAGATTTTATTTATTCATTTGACAGAGAGAGACACAGTGAGAGCAGGAACACAAGCAGGGGGAGTGGGAGAGGGAGAAGCAGGCTTCCCGCGGAGCAGGGAGCCCGATGTG